GGGGGCATCTCATCCAGGACCCTCTTGGTTCAGAAGTGAAGGAGTCCAGGTCACACAGATGCCAGGGCAGACTGGGGAGGGATCAGGCCTCCCGGGGGCTATCACTGTCCCACACATCTGCACGTCCACAGGACAAACCAAACAGACCTGGGGAGGTCTCTGCAGAGGGAGAGGACACCAATCTGGCTTGTGTGTGGGCAGGTCTCTGCCTCTTCCCAGCCACTTCTGTAAACTGGGCACAACACTGACCTCCCAGAGCTCTCGAGAATTAAACAGGGTTGTATCTGGGAAAGGGGACTCTTCCGCCCCCTGCCACCCTAAACAAGCCCAGGGAGGTTTCTGTGCCCCCACACACGGCCCTCGTACCTGAAACCCCATGGTCAGAGGAGGGGAGGCTGTTTGCTGGCACCCACTTGGTGCCAGGCACTGAACATGTGCACTTTTACTTAACCTTCGAAACGAACCTGGGAGCTAAGTATCCTTCCTCCCTTATAGACGGGAAACAGACTCAGAGAGCTGAGTCCTTTCTCCCCTGCTGTCTGGACCGGGCCACAGGGTGGACAACAGGAAGGGGGCCAGGGATGGGGGGAGACGCCGGCCTTGCACACATTCCTCCAACAGGGAGGGCCAGTGGGGGGAGACACTGTGCCAGGCACAGGGCTCCGGGGTTGAGCAAGACAGACCCAGTCCTGCCCTCACCGCCAGTGGGACACAGACAGGAAAGAGACCCCACTCCCAAACAAGATTTCAGTTCACCTGTGCACTGGGAAGCTCCTGGTGTCTTGAAGGCGGAGAATGGGAGGACAGGGGCTGACCTGGCCTGGGGGCTGGGAGAAGCGAGGTCTGAAGAACGAGCAGGAGGTGGAAAGAGGATGACAGGGGAGGGGGTGTTCCCGACAGGAGGCAAGGAACTCGGCAGGCCCTGAGGGAGCCCTGAGAGGGCCAGGGACCAGGCTGTAGTGGCAAGAAGAGATATTAAACTCCGTGTGGACGACACTGGGGAGTCACTGATGGTTTTAGGCAAGGAGTGGCAGGTTCAGATTCAGTGTAGAAAGATGCTTGGTGCCTGTCTGCAGACAGCTAGGAGGGCAGGAGGCAGCAAGGCCATGTGAGCTCCAGGCAGGAGACGCTGATGGCCTGGGCCAGACTTGTGGTCTGGGCAGGACAGTGGCCACGGGGAAGGGAGAATGTGGCTAATTCAAGAGGAAAAGGGCAGGGTCCCTGAGACTTGATGGACTGGTTGGAAGGGGGAGAGGAAAGAGGTTTAGTGACCACTGTGCTTGCGTGGACAGCAGGGCCCCTCACAGACAGGAGACAGGGAGGAGCGGGAATAAGGGATGACCGAGGGTCCAGGGAGGTGACTAGCTGCTGGCCCAGGCGGGAGCCCCAACACAGGGTGGGCAGAGGGCCAGGGAGGAAGGAAAGCCAAGTCGGGAGGCTGAGGGACGCCCAGAGCAGGCAGGAGGAGCAGGTGGTGACAGCGAGGATGGGGACACTGCCCAGGCTTGGGCCCCTAGAATTGGGGTCCCCAGGAAGAGCGTGAACGAGAGGGGTCAGGTGTTGGGCGGGGGCACTGAGCGAGCCGGCGCGGGAGGGAAAGCGGAGAGGGCGGAGGGGTCGGTGGGGGCTGGGGAAGGGAGGAGGCGGGAGGAGGCCGCAGCCTCAGCTGAGCGCCGGCAACCGCAGGGCCTCCCGTCCGACGGGGCAGGCGGGAGGGAGCCGAGGCTCGGCCTCGCCCCGTGTGGCCTCCTCTGGGCCCCGGTGCCCTCAAGGTGCCCCGGAGGAGGCTCCGCCCCCGGGGATGGGCTGGGTCCCTCCCGAGGATGCCTGTTTCCCCGGGGCTGGGAGAGGGGCTCCCGAGGGCGCTGTCGCATCCCCAGGCGCCTCGGCGGAGCCGGGGGTTCGGGGGTTCGAGGACTGTGGCTCCAGGACCCGGCTCCGCCCCGCGCAGGGGGAGTCCCGGCCCGCCGCCTCCCCGAGTCCCCCTCCGCGCCCCCGGCGCACAGCCGGGCCTCATTAGCGCCCCGCCCCCTCCCGCCAGCCCCGCGAGCCGGGGGGTCCCCGCGGCCCGGGGGAGGGGCGGGCTGTAATCTATCCCAGGCCGGAAATTCTTCCCGAGGGGCCCGCGCGCGGAACCTGGAAGTCGGCCCGCACCACCCCTCCGTCTCCGAGCCCGCCCCCCGCATCATGGAAACTGGGCCGCCAGCCCGACCCCCGGCTCGCTCTCTCCGCATTCTTGCTCCAGGCCCGGGCGGGGCAGGAAGGCCGGGCCCCCGTCAGGCCGCTCGGCCCGGGCGCCGCGGCCCTGGGACCCTCCTCCTTATTTGGGGCCGGCGCGGCTCCCCTGCGGCAGCCTGGGCGCGCCCGTCTCGGGGCGCCCGCTACGTCCACTCCGCCCGGGGCGCCCCGCCCCGCGACTGCCGCTCACTGAGGGCGCGCAGGGCTCGCGGCTCTGCCCTCGGCGCCGGATTTGCCTCTCAGCACCTGGCGAGGCAGCGGCGTTGAGCCCATTTTCCAGACGAAGGCAGTGAGGCTCAGACCGAGGGGGCGCCGTGGGGTCGCGGCAGAGCAGGGGTTCAGGCCGCCGCCTCTGCGCGGCGGGGGCGGGTGTGCGGGTTCCGGACCCTCAGTCTGCAGGCTCGGGCTGCGGGGCTGGACGCGGGGTCCTCGGCCCCGGGGTCTCAGTTTCCCCACGGAGGAAGGGGGCGCCCTTTGGAGCCTCTGCAAGCGCTGCAAGCTGCGGGAGGGAGCGGGGATGGCGGGACTCGGGTCTCCAGAGGCTCGGAGTCACCAGGCGCGCACGCGGCGCTTACCTGCGCCCCGCAGACCCGAGTTGCCGCCTTTTTGCAGCGGAGGGGCCCGGCCCTGCGCGACCGGGACCGCGCCGGGGGCTCCGGGGGCGGGGCCGGGGCGGCGCGGGGCGGGACCGGGGCGGGGCCCGGGTTCCGTGGAGACCCAGGCGGCGCCGGGAGGCTCGGCGCGCGCACTCGCACCGGACCGGCCGAACTAGGTGAGCGAGCCGGGACCCGTGGGTTTGCGCCCTACTTTCCCTAACTTTTTATTTGGCCCCTCCCTCGGCACGGGCCCCGGAGGGCGGGAGCCCGGTCCTCCCTTTCGCCCCGGCCGGAGTTGGCCGCGGCCGGTGGCGGGACAGCCCCAGAGTACGGGGACTCGGCCCCGAGCAACTTCCCGCTCGATCTGGGACGGTCGGGCTGCGTCTCCAAGTTTCTGCCTGCGTGGGGCCCCCGCGTCGACTCACGCCCTCCAGAGTCTCGGGGTCCCTGAGCGTGGCCCCATCCCTTCGCTCCTTATGTTTTCATCTCCCTCCAGCCAGGGACGCGCTGGGGCCCAGGGATGACATTTCTGGAGTTGGGGCCGGGGCGCCAGCTCTGGCTTGAGGCGGGTGGTCACTTCTGTTTCTGGCTGGGGACACACTCCGGGATAAGGAGAGAACGGACTTCGCCTCCTCCCAGGACGCTCCCGTGGCTGTGCCAAGAGATGCCGGGTGCCCAGGGCTAGGGCCCCGGTGAAGTCCCCGCCTCGTGTGGCGCTGTGACCCTGGCGGGCTCCTCCGCCTCTCTGGGCCGCAGTTTCCATCTGTGAAACCGGGCTTCGGACGCGCTGGACGCTGCGGTTCGTGCTAGGCCCGGGCCTTCAGCTACCCTGTGTGAGCCGAGCAGGGACGGGTGTCCTGCTTTGCGCTTCGGGGTGCAGATGGGGCGTGGGTAGGGTGGCAAGGCCTCCTCCTTCCAGCGTCGCAGCTGTTCAGAAACCAGACGGGGGAGGAGGACGCACCACTGGACGCGAGGTCCTGCCCTCGGCTCCTGCGGCCCGGGCGCCTGGGTGGGGCCGCGTTCCCTCCCACAACCTCCCTTTCGTGGGGCCACGCCGAACGCGGCCCGGCGGCTCCTGCCCCGGCCGAGACCCAGGCCTCGGGCCGCAGGTCCGCGCGACCAGCAGCCGGAGGGGCTTCAGCTGTGCGGCCGGGACCGGGGCGGCCTGAGGCACAGGGGCGGTGCTGCTCCGGCCGGGACGCGGGCCACTGAGTCCTCGGGCGGAGGAGGCCGGAAAGGAGGCCAGGCGGCGGGAAAGGCGGATGATTCATCTGGAGGATCCCGAATCGGAAACGCCGCAACCTGGGAACAGCCTTGCCCGGGCCGACGGGAGAGCGGGGAGGGGAGTCCGTCCGGCGAGGCCCTGCGCCTCGCACCGGCAGCCCCCTGCCTCCGGCCCGGCCTGGCCGCTGGGGAAGGGAGAGGCCTCTTCTGCGCGGAGTTGACAGAAATCTTGGACAAAGTCCGGCGCTGTCTCCTCGCCTCTGACTGCCTGGTCTTGGTCAGAGCGGACTTCTCGGAGTCTAGCTCAAGTCTCTCCTGCTGCAGCTTCAGCGCTGACCGAGGTCTGGAAGGAGGGGGCGGGCAGGGAGAGGCTGGAGTCGGTGACATCCTCCTTCCTTCCCACGCTGCGGTACGTAAAGCGCAGTAGGGGGGAGGTGGGGCCCACGAGCGACCCCTGCGGACTAGGGGGCCCGAGCGCCCCCTCCCTCGGTGCCGTGCAGCCACGTGCGGGGGTGGGGTCGCGCCCGGGCGGTACTTACCCAGGAGACGCCGCTGCCTGGGGCCCCACGCTTCCCGAGGCCCGGGACCCGCGCGGGGTAGCACAGAGGGCGCAGGCGGCCGGAGCCCCGCAGCCGGGGATGCGCCAGGGAGCGGCCCGCGCCCCCCTCCCTCCTTTCCGCCCGCAGGCCGGGCCAACTCGGGCTCCTGCCGCGCGTCCCTGGCTCAGAGCTCCGCTGCGGAAAACCCGAGCGTTGGAGGCTCCCCGCCTCGCAGCCCGGGAAAATCCGGGGGTGGCCGCCAGGGATCTCCAAGCGGCCCGGGCGAGGCGGCCCGAGCTTCCCTCCCGGATTTGGGCCCCGAGCCTGGCTCCCCGAACCTTGGTCCGTCGGTCCAGTCCCTGCCAACCATCTTCTCTCCGCAGAGCGCCCAGACGACGGCGGGATGACGGCTGGGAGCCCCGGAGACTGCGGGGAGGTGCGGAGGAGCCCCGAGGGCCGCGTCTCTCGCCTGGGCCGCCGGCTGGGCCGCCGCCGGCGCCCGCGCTCCCCGCCCGAGCCTCTGCGGGTGCGGGCGCGGCTGCGGCTGCGCTCGCCGTCGGGGGCGTTCGCCGCGCTGGGGGCGCTCGTGGTCTTGGTGGGCATGGGCATCGCGGTGGCCGGCTACTGGCCGCACCGGGCCGGGGCCCCGGGCCCCCGGGCCGCCAATGCCAGCTCACCCCCCCTGAGCGAGCTGCGACGCGAGGGGCGCGGCGCGGGCCGGGGCCATGGCCCGCATGAGCGGCTGCGGCTCCTCGGGCCGGTGATCATGGGCGTCGGCCTGTTTGTGTTCATCTGCGCCAACACGCTGCTGTATGAGAACCGAGACTTGGAGACGCGGCGGCTCCGCCAGGGGGTGCTGCGGGCCCAGGCGCTCCGGCCCCCCGACGGCTCCAGCTGGGACTGCGCTCTCCTTCCCAGCCCGGGCCCGAGGACTCCCCGAGCCCTAGGCTGCGCGGAGCCAGAAATTTGGGACCTGTCCCCACGTCGGGGCACCTCACCCGTCCCGTCAGTGCGGAGTCTGCGTTCAGAGCCTGCTAATCCTCGCTTGGGGTTATCTGCCCTGTTCCACGGCTACCCGCTGAAGGGCCCGGGGCTGCCCCCACCTTGGGGTCCCCGGACCCAGACTGGCCACGTGATTATCACCGTGCAGCCTTCTGGTTCCTGCATTGAACATTCCAAGTCTCTGGATCTGGGCCTTGGGGAGCTCCTCCTTGGGGGCTCAGCAGCTCGGGACTGTGCTCACCGAAGCTGGCCACGGCTGGACCGCCTCAGTCTGGGGGGCTATGCCAAATTGGGAGGAGGGGACTTGGGGGCCAGGGTGTGAGGAACGGGCGGACAGCCTGCAATGAGGCTGCAGCACGGACCATGTAACAGGACCAGAGGAGTCCAATGTTTAGTAGATGCTTCAGTCACATCCCAGGCCGGGGACGGATGTTCCGACCACAGCAGCTGCTGCGGCATCCTGACCTGCGTGTGGGCAGAGAAATGCCAACGGCACTAGGGCCCAGTGAGCTGGAGAGGGTGTGTTTCAATGTGCAGAGCGGAGACTAGCCTGGCTCGGCCTCAGGAATTTCTTCAGCTTCCATATGTGGCCTCAGCCCTGAGGGGGCTGGAGGTCCAGGCCAGGGTGATTGGGAGATGCCCCTGGTGTCTTGGCAAACCCCAAATGGTGGGCAAGGACTCCTAATACTTGGAGGTAGGTTGGGATGTTACCGGTTGGGGCAGGCTCCTTCCAAGGTGGCACTGGTGACAGGGTTTGGGCCTCTGGGAAGATGGGCAATGGGGTGGAGTTGAGACCCTCCACTGCCATCCGGGATGGGGACTGAGGCTTTAACTCTACCCACCTCAATCCCCGCCTTCCCTCAGCCATGCGGGGTATGTCCCATTAGGGCTACACCACCGCCACTGCCTTCCTGTGAGGTCTCGCTCCTCCCCAGAGGTCTGAGAAGCCCCTTTCTCTCCTTGCTTAGCTTCCTTTAGAAAATAGCTTGAGTTTAGGTCTCCCCCACCCATGTTTAATTTTTCCCAAGTTCCTGGTAGGAGAAGAGAAATTTAAAAGTAGATCAATCCTCACAGTCAGTCCTTTTTTTTTTTTTTTTAAGTTTATTGAAAAATGCAATACAAGAAGCAAGACCAAACACATACCTAAACACTACAGCTACTTCTACAAAAGGCCAGAACAGCAGACCTATTTCCTATTTAATCTAAGGATTCTGCCAATTTGATTCTGCTGCCATAGTTCCTATTTTATCAAGAAATGTAAACTACTTGATATGATTCATAATTTTTTTAAAAATTTACAAAGCTCCTTCATTTTTGTCACCAAAATAATACATTTGAGAGATCTGTAAAAACAACCGGCCTGGGGCTGAGATCCTGGGCAGAGACTTCCCATGAGCATCAAGGGAGCTGGTCAGGCCACAGCTCTGGTTCCATTTGCAAGGCGGACTGTTGTCTCCTCACCCCCAGCCACTGGCGGGCTTCCCCCAACACACCGTGATGGGCCTCGGGAGGGGGCCAGGCAAAGGTGCCCTGACAGTTCCCTGCAGCTAGGTTCCCCGAGCCCTCGGCTTATGGATACAGGTCTTGCTTTGTGGGTGGGTGCCAGAGACCTCATGTGGCTTGAAGCAAATTTTATTTCTCAAGTGAAAATAAAACTGCAGTGAGAGTTGTTACTGTGGTGTGTCTGAGTCACTTTAGGAAAATTGTTGCCAAGTTTCTGACCCTGGAAATGTTAACTCTCCTCCCCCTCTTCACCGTTTCTATCTGGACAGAGTCTGTTTTCTTCACACGCACACAACTGCAGAAAGAAAAAAAATCCAAACAATCGCCAGATCCTAAGATCTGTTGCCAGAGACGGAGGAAAAGGGAAGAGGCCTGGAAGGACACCTGTCTTGCTGGGCTTGTCCAAATTGTGGCTGCTCAGCTGGTCCAGTTAGAGACAAGGAAGCAGAGACAAGTGAGTTGGTAACAGCTGAGGGGAAGTTCAGGCCCCTCGACTCATGGCCCTGTGCTATGAAAGCTGCCACACCGATCCGGATGGCAGAATACTCAGTATGCCGAATTCTTAAATGGCCGCACTGTGCCCTCTTCCTGTCCCCCATCCGCTTCATTCCACAGGTTTCAGCTTTGGGAGCCCCAAGAACTCTGGTTTGTTCCTGAGACAGGACAACCTCCTTTCCCCCATCTGTCCCACATCTCACCTGTGCTCCTCCCTTCCCTCCTGTTGGTGGTAGCAGTGTCACCGGGATACCAAAAGAAAAATGCACACACCCGAAATTGGTTCAAACCGGTTGAGTTTCTCTAAACTGAACAAAAGTCATCTAGTAGAGAATTTGGACGCGTGCCTCCGGCTCCCACTATCTGGAGCAGAGGTTTAGACTTCTCTTCTTGCTCACTGCCCTTGAGCCCCCAGGGACTGTTGTCCCTGACCCACTGTCTATCTCATGAAATTCACTTCTAGCCTAGAATTAGGATTCTAAGACGCCTCCAGGCAGATCTGTTTGTGGGAAGCAAGCTGGAAAATCAGAGAAGCCCTATTGAATAAAAATGCCCCCGAATCCTTTTGAGGAATCAGGAACATCAGTTCTCATTTTCAAAACCAAAACCAACAACAACAAAAAAAAAAAAGCAGAAGAAAGAAGGAAATCAAAAAGAAGAGAAACTAAGTCCAAAACCCACCACAAAATCAAGCCTATAAAACCGGACAGACCTTAGATGGTGACTGGGAGTGGCGCTGGGGCTCGTGCCCTTGTCATGTGGTGTCTTGTGGGGAGGATGCCCTAAAGCCAATTCCCTTGCTCCAGAAGGGTGTCCTCAGCAGGCGCCTGTGTGCAAGAAGAAAGGTCAAAGCACACAACCTCCTCTATGAGCCACATTCCTTATCCTCCGGGATGAAAGAGGCCCAGGGATGGTCACCTGGAAATACTTCTTAGGATCTGATTGAGGTAAACCACCTTTTCCCTATGTGAAGTGCACACTCTCACAACTAGAAAACCTTAAAAACCTCATTAACTTTCCTTCTCCAAATCACCACTAAAAATACTCCATTAGAGCTTTTGGCCAAAAGTCCCTACTTTTTCGTGAGTTTTGTTCTCCTGAGATGGGAGCTGGGGGAGCACTTAGCAGAGCCACTGCTTCTGATGAGGTAAGAGGGCAGATGGAGAGGCGAAGGCCACAGATATGGTCAAACATTCACAGTATCAGATATAACTTAAGCCATTTCTTACGTTTTTGACCCAAAGAGGCTCCAAAAAGAAAAGAACAAAAGGGAGGAAGGAAAAACAATATTACATTCTTAGCAGAGATCGCTGCCTTACCAAAACCACCCTTAACAAAGGGACAGGGATATTTTTCTGGGGTCTGTGGGTCAGGGCAGTTGCCCTGCCTGACATTCTAGTAAAGTCACATCATTAGCTCTGAGAAAGAACTGGCTCATAAAATTTCTGCTGTCATCCAAAGGGTATAAAACTAGGGGAAGAGCATGGAAGTTCCTTCCACTGAGCTGGCTTTGGCCTCCACACAGCTGACACAGTCTTTGGAGGGTTTCCTGAAGAATTCTGTGGACCCTGTCAGTATTGGGCTTGGAAATAAATGGGCAGAGACTAGGCTGAAGGGGTCACAAACCACCCCATAAAAAACCAAAAACTCTTTTAAAACAGTCCATAATGTGAAAAGTTGAAGAATTTCTGATATCACAATATAGAAAAAGGTCTTCAAAAGGATCAGTGATATCTAGAAGAATCTCTTGGTATAAACTCCAAATAGAAAATGAAATTAATTTTCTGGTGGTTTAGAATAATCTTGAAAGTCTGAAGTCTATTGCAGATTAGCTTCATCATTTCGCTGGTTTCTCTTGGATGGGAGAATGGCAGGGAGTTAGGGGTAGGATAGTTCCTAGAAGAAAGAAAGAAGCAAAATTTGAAACCCTGCAAAGGAAATAGCTTCCCAGTCGCACTGCCAAGTTCTTGTGGCCATAAGTGACAATCAGGAAGGACCTGAGTGGTTTTTAGGACCCAGTCCTACCTGGTGATTGGTGGCATCTTCAAGTCATTTGTAAACTACTTTCAGGCATGAATTCATCTGGCTCTCTGGCTCCCAAAAAGCAGCTTCCCTGCCTCCAACTCTCTAGTCTGGCCCCAGAACTTCATCCATTCCCCGCTTCCCTCCCCAACCCACTCATCTCCACACAGCCTGGCCCTGCTCTCCTTATTTTTTTCTCCTCCGCTGGCCCGCCCAGGTTCTGGCTGAGAGACACCTGTGACAGCAGAGAACAGAGCAGCAGAGAGAAGCGAGGGGGAAAGTACACTGGAGAAGCAGGACATGTGTGAAAACTCAGGAGGTGGGTGGAGGTTTCCATCCAAGTGTGGAGTCCTTCCTCTCACCCAACACTGTTAGCACTGCTAAGGGCAAGAGGACACAAACGACCTGGCTGCTTTAGTTGGAGCCAAATACTTAATGATCTCCTGTCTCCTCCTCATCAGCCTCTCCTCTGACTTTACTTCCTACAGTCCTGGTGTGGACACCTCTTTGGGGAAATGCACCCCAGAGTGCCCAGGGCTTCTGTCCAGAGCTCTCTCAGACTGGGACAGTGGCATCCTCACCCATAGCAGGAACACCCTCCTCTACCTGAGCTCAATCCTCAGCAATCTCGGTCTCTTGATGGACGACCACCTTGGTCACTGACATGTCTGGGTGCTGCTCCTTCGCCTCCTTGATGGCTTGTACGAGGACCTACAAAAGACAGAAACAAAGCCCATCAGGCAAAAAGCAGCCTGGCTGGTGAAGGCAGGCAGAGATCATAGGACATCGAGCATATTTCTCTGATACCCTGACAAATTCAGTCCTTCTGTCTGCAGAACCACAGCAGCATTTAGGCTAAGCCAAGCTGAGAGATAATTACCTTGCCCACTCTGCGCTACACAGGCAGGCTCCCAGACTGCTAACACAGAGACAGGGAAGGTTAGAGCTGTCTTCAAGGAATCAGAGAGGGACTTCAGGGGAGACAGCTGCACCTACCTGGGTGGGTCTGAGAGGATTCACTCAAGAAGTGAATCTAGAGGACAAAACAAAATCTGTGTTCCACACGGCGTAACCAGGAAGTTCAGGATAGAAGAGGAAAGCAAAGAAGCTTGCTGCAAAAAGGATGAGATGTCTTTGGCTAAAGTAAAAGAAAGGAAGGAAGAGGGGGAAGGCCTATCACATGCCATGTGCTAGCCTAAGCACAGTACTTCTTATTTTTGTTTTAGTATTTTGATTATAATTTATTAAAACATAAATATTAAATACAAGATAACCTTTGGTATTTCCTTGATTCAGACTTTGTTATAGCTTCTAATCATGCCTTTCCTTATTCATTAGTAGCTCATTCGTTCCCTTATGCCACCTCACCTTAAAAGTTCTTAAGAGTTTTGCTGTAAGTCCTATAAGTGCAGCGAGGCATTTGAGTGAATCATTGTTTCCCTTCTTCTACAAACTCTAGAGTAAGAATAAGTAGTGGGTATAGTTAGGGTTACATAGGTGCATTTATTCTATAAGACAAAGTGATCAGAGAACTCCTTAGGAAATGCTATTAATAATAGTTTTTTGTAATTAGAGGGTGAGCAGCTGTTAAACTCAATGTCTTAAAGAATTTTATTTTTTTAATGTCAATGATTTATTTTTAATTTTTTTATTTCAGGATATAGTACTTATTATTTAATCTTTACAACAACTCAATGAACTAGGATAGTATCATTATTTCCATTTTATAGAGGAGGAAACTGAAGTTCAGTGGTTAAATAAAGTGCTTATTATTTCACAGCTAATAAGTCATGCAATAGGGTTTTTAACTCAAGTCTAGCAGACTTTCCTCTTTATCACACTGTTTTTTTAATTTCGGACAGGGCCCCTATTTGAGCATCTGGAGGAGTTTTGATTATTGCAGAAAAGCTAAAAAGAGCAGAGGGAAAGTCAAAAGAGAACAATGATACCACTCTCCTTGGGCTGTGAGTCTCTGAGCCTACAGGCCTCCCCATCAAAAACGACCCCAACTAGAACTGACCAGCTGACTGCTCACCCTGGCTCTTAAGAACCATCGCTAGGAGGGACAAGGGAAGAAGGAAAATTCCTCTTCTGGTCTTTTGGCTCCATGCAAGGCATTCTTGGAACTGCCACCTCTATGGGCCCTGTTTATCCTCCCAGATCCTGTCTGCCAGCCCATCTGCTTATATTCAGGCCCAGCTCAAGCCCTGCCCTTGGTGACTCTCTATAAAAGCCTGCACCACACAGCTTCTCCTTCACGGTCCTTTTTTTTTTTAAGACAGAGTCTCACCCTGTCGCCTGGGCTAGAGTGCAGTACCTAGAGTGACGTTATCATAGCTCACTGCAACCTCAAACTCCTGGGCTCAAGGAATCCTCCTGCCTCAGCCTCCTGAGTAGCTGGGACTACAGGTGGGCACTACCAGATCTGGCTAATTTTTTCTATTTTTTAGTAGAGACGGGGTCTCGCTCTTGCTCAGGCTGGTCTTGAACTCCTGAGCTCAAGGAATCCTCCTGCCTCAGCCTCTCAGAGTGTTGGGATTACAGGCGTGAGGCACCGCGCACGAGCCACAGTCCTTCTTAAAGTGCCTCCCTCCCCAGGCAGAGTTCACTGTATCTTATTGCTTCCATGCACCCTTAGTACCTAGAATAACTGAAGGACACTGGAGAATCTCTCTGAGCTATCAAGTGTGTTTGTCCTTTTATCACAACAACCCAGGAAGAAACCTGTAACCATCTCTATTTTACAGATGGTAAAACTAGAGTTCAGAGAAGTCATATAAGTTGCTCAAGGGCACACAACCTGTGAGTCGCAGAGGCGGGATTTGACTCACATCTGTCTCACTCCAAACACCAAACCCCTTCCATCCCATTGCTTTTGCTCTCTAGTGCAAATGGAGTACACGACAGAGGCTCAGATCGCCCCAGACCGGGCAGGTGGGTGCAGGCTCCTAATGCAGCAGGACCCACCGAGCTGGGCAAACAGGCTGTGAGGTCTCTCACTTGGGCTTTGCAGTCTTGTTTCTGGGACCCTGAACCCAGTATTCTCAGCTGTAAGTCTTATATACCAAGGGAACTGTCAGCACTGCAGCTCAGTTTTTCTTTCTTAAAAGACACTCAGCATAGCAGCATAAAGGCCACAGAATTATTGCTCTAGCAATCCTGTCAATGATTCCAGAAGTATTTGCATGCAGTCTCTTCCACCCCCTCTTCTCTTCAGCTTTACTGTTCTAACCTCACCCAGCAGAGAATTGGGAACATTAATCCTGACCTTATTATTTGCTAATTGCTTGTAGCACACAATTAGCACCTAATTAACATAAAAACATAGAATTTTAACACTCAGAAGAGCCCAGAAATTATCTAGATCAACCCACTCTCTTTTAGGAGAAGAAAAAAATCAGAGGTAAATTGATTTTCCCAAGGTCACACAGCAAGTTAGTGACAGATCTAGGACAGAAAGCAAGTTCAAGTCTCCTGGACTTGTCCATCACACTATGCTGCCCCTTGTTGTCTCCCCAGCTATTAAGGCCCGCTGAGGTGGGGCTCACACCTTCCCTTCATTTTGATACCATCTAGCACATGTTTAGGCACACTATACTTTCCCAATAACAACAGCTCCATTTACTGTTATAAATGGCCCACGATGTGCCACAGGCCACAGACCCTGTGTCTCACTTGGTCCTCACAACAACCTTGAGAGGAAGACACTATCATCCCATTGTTATGGGTGAGGAAATGGAGGCCCAAAGAGTTAAGAGCTAGAATAACAGTAAGACTCAGCATTTGAACTCAAGTCTTTGAGTCCAATGCCCAAGTTCTTTCCATTACACTTCCTGGCTTCCTCGGTCTGTGGCCCCCAACCCACAGGCCTCAGTATTTTCATCCCCTTTGTCCTTCTCTCAGGTAAGAGCTGGAGTGGCTGAAGAGGCAGTTTAGAGATGAAGATGGCAGAGGTATCCTTTGCAAGCTCCTGTATCCGTCAGTCTTCCTGCCCAGGGACCCCTCCCACGCCCACAATCTCCTCAGCATTCCCACCTGGTCATGGTCAATATTGGCATCTCCTGTGATCACAATTCTCTTCTCAATCCGAGTCTCTGAAATCCCACCTTTTACAGTCTGGAACCAAAGAGTGGAGGTCATATGAGATCAGCAATATAACAAAAAAGAAAAAGAAACAGCAAAGATTATTCTGAAAGCTCCACTCCAAATTTTAACTTGCTGCTGGGTACTGAATAGGACAGCTTTCTTACCCACGTGTCCAAAATCTTGGCTAGACATAAAACTCCCTTGGATTGCTAAAGTCTTTATAAAGTTAAACAGAAAGTCACAGTTCTCTATTTATTTACTTTCTCTTTTTCCTTCCTCTCACACACCACAGAAATTCAGCAAGTAAACAAAATAGGTGTTTCCCTGCTTGTCTCCTATATATTTTTATTTGATCATTTTCAGGAGGACAAAAAATCCGAAGACTATGAATAAATATGTCACATAGCCTGAAATCAGGCTCTTATATTTTAAAGCATTTTTCATATTATTGATGTCAAAAGATTCTCAAATAATCTCCTGAGGGTGGGTAGGTTTCCTTTCCTGACAGATGAGGAAAACCAAGGTCTAAACACATCAAGTAGCTGGCTTTCAGTCATCTGTGTGTTGATGACAGAGCTTGGTCAAGAACCTAGATTTCTTACCTATTAAAAAAACGCATTTTCGTCTCATGCTACAGCAAGCATGGATTGCCTCTGATTTTCTGAGAGTAGTTCCAATATTAGATATTTAATCCCTCTTGCTTCCCATAAACCATACTCTAATAATTCTAATATTTCAGCATCCAAACTATAGTTCCCATGGCCTTGACCCTGGACATGACATAAAAATTCTGTCAGACTCAGAGTTCTGATTTTTGGCTTGGAAGATATAGTTGCATAATAACAACAACAATACCTGCCCTTAGGCTGACTTCTTTTTTTTTTTTTTTTTTTTTTAGACAGAGTCTCACTCTTTTGCCCGGGCTAGAGTGAGTGCCGTGGCGTCAGCCTAGCTCATAGCAACCTCACACTCCTGGGCTCAAGCGATCCTTCTGCCTCAGCCTCCCAAGTAGCTGGGACTACAGGCATATGCCACCATGCCCGGCCAATTTTTTCTATATATTTTTAGTTGTCTGATTAATTTCTTTCTATTTTTAGTAGAGACAGGGTCTCGCTCTTGCTCAGGCTGGTTTCGAACTCCTGAGCTCAAACAATCCGCCCGCCTCGGCCTCCCAGAGTGCTAGGATTACAGGCGTGAACCATGACTTCTTAAATTTACTGTCACAGCCAGATAGGGGACTCACTGGCCAGAGAGACAGGCAGATGTGTAAAGAGAAGAACCACACATGACTTTATGAGACTATGAGGTAGGCAGGGATACTCTCAGGTTCTCCCTAGGTTTATTGCTGGGGAAAGCAGCAGGGATTTTCCATGTGGGACTCAGATTAATTTGGTTCAGTAGAGACGCAGCTGAAAACCTTTATTTATGGACTGGGGTCCGTGTCGCAGAGAGGTGGCAGCAAGCACAACATGCCACTGGATTCCATAAGGAGGTTCTAGCTGGTCTATTACCTTGGTAATCTGAGTTGTGGTGGTGCTGCTTGTGGTCTCAGATGTGATGGTCTGAGCTGTCAGCAAAACTCCTGGGTCCAAGTCCCCATTGCTGTCGTCAGTCTACAGAAGAAAGCACAGTTTGTCATCATGCCCCTCCAGAAGCCTTGTGGGAAAATGTTGCAGGCTGCAGGTTGCTCTTCAGCTGTATGTTCTGATGCAAAAATCTCATTTCCTTATGGTGACCTCTTAATGAATAAAATAAATCTCCTGGAAACATAGCTCCTTCTAAATAAATTGGATGGGTAGTTTCCTTAGTATCAGCTCAGTGACAAGAGATAGACCAGAAAGAGGCAGGAGTATAGCCACAGGTTCAGCAAGAATGACAATAGCTACACACATGTACAGCATTTTATAGTTCACAAATGCCTTTCAAAACATTACTGATGCTCACACCAGTCCTATGAAAGGGCAGAGATTTATCAGCACCCCTGTTAAGAAAACACGGGCTCAGAAAGGTGAATGATTAGCCCAAGGACTCAAAACTAGTAAATGGCTGTTGCACTCTCTATGATCTGTTGTTTACACACCATCCACAGCAGGAAAGGTATAAACTCTTGGTTGCTAAGGCATGGGTAGGTTCTGAATCATAGGGTAGAATTTTCTAGAAAGAACTGGATAAGGTCCTTACTGGGGTTTAAGGGGCTAAGGAATCTCAGGCTATCTTCTTTAAAGGTTGATGTAAGACACTTGAGCAAATGAGGTAGAAATATGTTCTTTTAAGGGAAAGTGGGAAGAAATATGCAAAATGTCTTAATGATATTTTTGACAACAAAACTATTATTGAAAGGGATCCTTCGTATTAGGAGGGGTTTTAAAGTATTTAAAATGCCAGGCCACCCAACTAATCTATACAGAGAACAAGGGCCGCAGCTACTAGTTTCTCCAGAGCTCAATCTATCGTGACCAAAACAACATATTATGACCAGGCTGAGAAACAACATTAGCAAAAAGGAAGAGAGATGGTTGGCAGGGGCCAAATTCAGCCTGGCGAACAGTTGTCAGCACCCATTTGGGCTGTTAGTATACTTAGAACTGCTGACAGCCCCACCACCAAGACAGAAACAAACTGGACTAGGAGGACAGAGTTTGCCTATTGCAACATGCTTTTCAGATAACAATGACCTATTATACAGTGTCTGGTACTGGTATGTACACTGTCTCGGAGGGGCATTTAGAGAATTGCAGTATTTTCATAAAAAAACTCTTCAGCAAAAAATGTGTTAGGTTACTAATATCTTTCTCTGCCTCTTTATGTAAAGTCATTTGTATTATAAACAGAGGCCTCCAATATTTTTATGAATAGGAACACATTTCACTGAGCCAAAACTGTGAGATATTAGGGGGCAGGGCAGAAGGACGAGAAGAGTAGTATCAGGAAGGAACAGAGTCCTTGGCTGGGCTCCCCACCAGGTAGGAATCTGGACAGAACAAAAGTGAGGGAACATGATTGTGCTACTTAAGTCTCGTACACATGCTGCCATCATCCAGGTATGTTATTAGCTAGTTCACTAAAATTTTCTTCAGCCAATACCACTTATCTACCTTAGATTCCGACTCAACTAATATTTATTGCACTTCTACTATGTGCCAAGCACAAAATTCAACTGTCACCTCAATTATGCCTCTCAATATCTGAGGTAGGTACTTATTATTATACTCACTATACAGTTAAGAAAACAGAGATACAGAGAGGTTAAATAATTTGTTCAAAGTTCTGTAGCTAATAGGTGTTTGAACTAGGACTTAGGTTAAGAAACTTCTTGTTTGGCCAGGCGCGGTGGCTCATGCCTGTAATCCTAGCACTCTGGGAGGCCAAGGCCGGAGGATTGCTTGAGCTCAGGAGTTTGAGACCAGTCTGAGCAAGAGCGAGACCCCGTCTCTACTATAAATAGAAAGAAATCAGCCAAACAACTAAAAATAGAAAAAATTAGCCAGGCATGGTGGCGCATGCCTGTAGTCCCAGCTACCTGGGAGGCTGAGACAGGAGGATCTCTTGAGCCCAGGAGTTTGAGGTTGCTGTGAGCTAGGCTGACGCCA